CTGTTTTTCCACAGATTATCTCCAAATGTCCCACCATCACACAGTTAGTTGGGCTTGATAAGGCATCACTATTTTTATTAAAAGTTGGAAATCTGAGCAATCTCTTAACCCAAAGTATTACATTTTGACTTGTAACTTGGCCTGCATATTAAATTGTGGAATATTGAGGAGTGTTTTTAAATTTTTGAAATAATATGCTAATATTGCTAAGTGGGTAGTAAAATGAGTAATGAGTAGTATTGGCATAGCAACATGTTAACATCCCACAGTTTAACTTAGCAATGGCTTAGAAACACCCTGGCAATCATCCAGAACACCCTAGTATCGGCATAAGAACATGGTAACATCACTCAACACACCGAAACAACTGCAAAGCAACATCCTGGCAACCATCCAGATCACCCTAGTATTGGCATAGCAACATGGTGACATCACTCAAAACACCTTAAAGGGGTCATATGATGCGATTTCATGTTTTCCTTTGTCTTTTGAGTGTTAAAAGCTGTTTGTGCATACAGAAGATCTGTAAAGTCGCAAAGATTAAAGTCTCAAACCCAAAGAGATATTCTTTATGAAAGTGAACGCTCAGCCACGCCTTCCTAAAACGCCTCATTCAAACATGCCCCCACATATCTACATTACTGTGTGGGAAGATTTGCATAACACTGCCCAAATGTATACGCATAGAAAGAAGCTGTAACTTTTATTCTTGCTGTAGTTTTGTTGCTGCCGCCGTATTGTGGAGACGCTGTGTGTTTCGTTGCGAAAGCCAAACTACTTTGTTTGGTCTTCCAAATAAGAACACAACTAGAAATCAGTGGTCAAGTTTTATTTACAACACTGTTCCAGAACAGTACAACCCAAATATTCAAGTGTGTGCAGCACATTTTACGGGGGAAAGTTTCCTGAACATAGTAAGGGGCGTAACATTTGCATCACACGCTTGAGGAATTCGGCCAATCACAACTCGCTAGATAGCTGGCCAATCAGAGCACACAGCACTTTTCAGAACGATGAGCTTTGTAAAAATTGACACATTTCAGAAGGGCGGGGCATAGAGGAGCAACATTGCATTACACCAAATACACAAAATAATGTTGTTGTTTTTTTGCAATGTCATATGACCCCTTTAACAAACAGCATGGCAACATCTAGGCAACAATCCAGAATACCTTAATAGCCTATTGGCATAACAACAGACTAACATCATTCAAGACACCTAAGCAACTGCATAGCAACACACTGACAACCACCCAAAGCACCCTAGTATCAGCATAACAAGATGATAACATCACCCAAGAGGCCTTCACAAACAGCATAGCAACACACTGGCAACCATGTGGAGCACCGTAGTAAGGGCATAGCAGACACCTTAGCTACTGCATAGCAACACCATGGCAACCAACCAGAACACCTGCTGGCATAGCAACATACTGACATCACTCAAGGCACCTTAACAAACAGCATGACAACACCCTGGCAACCTACCAGAACACTGTAGTATCAGCATAGCAACATACTTACATCCCTCAAGACACCTCAGCAACTGCATAGCAACAGCCTGGCAACCACTGATACCAACTATTGGCATAGCAACATGCTAACATCACTGAAGACACTTTAGCAACTGCATTGCAACAGTATGGCAACCATCCAGAACACTTGCTGGCATAGCAACATGCTGACATCACTCAAGACACCTTAACAAACAGCATGTCAACACCCTGGCAACCATCCAGAACACCTATTAGCATAACAACATGCTTGCATCTCTCAAAACACATTAGCAACTGCATAGCAACACCCTGGCAACCACCCAGAACACCTACTGACATAGCAACATGCTAACATCACCCACGACACCTTCTCAACTGCACAGCAACACCCTGGAAACCACCCAGAACACCTATTGACATAGCAACATGCTTACATCACTCAATACACTTTAGCAACTGCATTGCAACAGCATGGCAACCATCCAGAACACCTGCTGGCATAGCAACAGGCTGACATCACTCAAGACACCTTAACAAACAGCATGTCAACACCCTGGCAACCATCCAGAACACCTATTAGCATAGCAACATGCTTGCATCTCTCAAAACACATTAGCAACTGCATAGCAACACCCTGGCAACCACCCAGAACACCTACTGACATAGCAACATGCTAACATCACCCACGACACCTTCTCAACTGCACAGCAACACCCTGGAAACCACCCAGAACACCTATTGACATAGCAACATGCTTACATCACTCAATACACTTTAGCAACTGCATTGCAACAGCATGGCAACCATCCAGAACACCTGCTGGCATAGCAACAGGCTGACATCACTCAAGACACCTTAACAAACAGCATGTCAACACCCTGGCAACCATCCAGAACACCTATTAGCATAGCAACATGCTTGCATCTCTCAAAACACATTAGCAACTGCATAGCAACACCCTGACAACCACCCAGAACACCTATTGACATAGCAACATGCTTGCATCTCTCAAAACACATTAGCAACTGCATAGCAACAACCTGGCAACCACCCAGAACACCTATTGACATAGCAACATGCTAACATCACCCACAACACCTTCTCAACTGCCCAGCAACACCCTGGAAACCACCCAGAACACCTATTGGCATAGCAACATGCTTACATCACTCAAGACACCTTAGCAACTGCATAGCAACACCCTGTCAACTACCCAGAACACCTATTGGCATAGCAACATGCTAACATCACTCAAGACACCTTAGCAACTGCATAGCAACACCCTGTCAACTACCCAGAACACCTATTGGCATAGCAACATGCTAACATCACTCAAGACACCTTAGCAACTGCATAGCAACACCCTGGCAACCATACAGAACACCAGCTTTGTGGCATCAGCTTTTGTGGCATTTTTCTTCAGAAAGGGATTGATATTAGTCAGGGCTGCTGCTCATTAATTTTTGCAATGATATGTCTTTGCTAATAGCTATTGATTTAGGTTTAGGGAAGGTACCGGTTATTTATGCTCTAATTAAGTGAAAAATACTCAAGCAGTGAAAAGCCAAGGAATAATTTGGTAGATGATGTGTCCAAGGCTATTTTTTCCAGACAAAATAAGAGTGTGATAAAACGGACAGAAATTGGGGAAGTACATATAAAGATGTATTTGCAGTATTTGGTGAAATTATACATTTTTAATGTAAATTCTTTGGTGTACACTTTATTCATACTTTAACACATAATGTTATATTACAGTATAGTTACAGTACCTGCAGTATTTGTTGTATGACCTTCAACATTTTTTATGTTTTTATCCCCAGAAAACTGTGTCCATCAGCAGTGATTGTATATAAAATGTCTTGCTTCCATGTTTTTTTATTTGCCTAACTAAATTATTTTTTTAACTACAAACCCGATTCCAAAAAAGTTGGGACACTGTACAAATTGTGATTAAAAACAGAATGCAATGATGTGGAAGTTTCAAATTGCAATATTTTATTCAGAATACAACATAGATGACATATCAAATGTTTAAACTGAGAAAATGTATAATTTTAAGGGAAAAATAAGTTGATTTTAAATTTCATGGCATCAACACATCTCAAAAAAGTTGGGACAAGGCCATGTTTACCACTGTGTGGCATCCCCTCTTCTTTTTATAACAATCTGCAAACGTCTGGGGACTGAGGAGACAACACTGTAAAATCCAATAGTTTACCTTACTTAGATTTAGTTAGTTATCTTTACTTAGTTGTTATACTTACTAGGTTTTATTAAGTTACAGCTACTTTCAAGGCAAATAAACATGTCATGCCAATTGACCTAATAAGTTGCAAATTGGTCCTCCAGCTGTTCCTTATATGTACATTTAACTTTTCCGGCCTCTTATTGCTACCTGCCCCAACTTTTTTGGAATGTGTAGCTCTCATGAAATCCAAAATGAGCCAATATTTGGCATGACATTTCAAAATGTCTCACTTTCAACATTTGATATGTTATCTATATTCTATTGTGAATAAAATATAAGTTTATGAGATTTGTAAATTATTCCATTCCTTTTTTACTCACAATTTGTACAGTGTCCCAACTTTTTTGAAATTGGGTTTGTAAATAATTAACTTCTATTTCGATAACAAAATCTTAAGACTGCATAATTTAACTTTGCTGTTAGATGATTTATACATTGTAATTTGACCAAAGAAAATTTAAACAATTAAATGTTTTCAAACAACTTTCCTGAACATGCCCCTCATTTATCATTGATAAGATAGTCCCGCCCTAAATTCACGCCATTGGTTGATCTCTTGTTGCTTTGTTGGAGTGGTCAGAATGATAAAAAAAACAGAGCAATGTTTTGAATTTGCCTCAGTGTTTATACTGTTCTGGGAAATCAACCAATGAGTGAAAGTCTTTTACCACATTAAAATGTGTGCTCTTCATCTTAATCATTAAAAAGTTAGTTTGAGAAGGTTATAAAAAGCCTTGCTGTACAAGCAGTGTAGAAAAAAATAAGTGTTTTTACTCTAGGCGACTATTTAGTCATGATTAAATGTGTCGTTATGTAGCCCTTTATGTGGCTTCCGTTGCTAACAGCTGGCTTTCTTACTGTAATAATAGGGTGACATACTGTGCAGAGACTTAAGATTTGAATGTTTTGAGCTCGTTTATTATGGAATGAAAGCTTATTATGATGTTGGTGGGGTTCTGCAGCAGTGTGGTTAATCTGCTGGGAGGCAGAATATTTCAGAGATGTTCTGGACATCAGCCAGTGAAATTGATGGCCCAGACCTTAGTGTACTATAAGTTCCAGTCTTTATGTTCCATCTCATCTAAAAGATATCAGGTCATTGCATACTGGTGCATACTGGATATGTTACTTCACATGTTAATTTTTGTTTTTCAGTCTGATTTTGGGGTAATTCATTTATTATTATTATTATTATTATTATTATTAGAATGTTCAGTGTTTCTTAGTTGACATTTCTATTTTGTCTATTACAGGATGGTACCGAGGATTTTCCACCAAGAAACCCACAATCAAGGTAAACTGATTCATTTTTCATACTCAATAGTGTGGATTCTACAATCCACCCAATATGCAGTTTGTTTCCTTGTTGATCTGCAGTGAACCTGTTTGAATGTCAAGTAAACAACAAAGATCTACTGTTGAACTGTGGTTTTCGACTGATAGGTTGTGACCCGTGTCTGTTCAGATTCGGCCACGGAAAGCAGGGAAAGACAGTGCTAAATGCAAATAATAAAATACAACCATGTATTTTCTACAGCTGTGACTGATAAAAGAAAAAAATGCATTCCAATAAATTGACATCACTATATAATTTCACTGAATGAGACCCTGACTCCCAGACAAACATGAACCCCCATAATATCCGCTTACTATGCAACAGTTCACTTCTTTACAGAAAGATGGTTGAAAGGACTTGTTTTGTCTTTTTTTTTTTGGTGCTACAAAATTAAATCAATATGTGCATTTTACAATAAATGGCCTTTGACTGGTTGGAAATATGTAGCAGTGATCTTTCTAAATTTTAGCAGCTAGGGACTCTCTGTACAGTGCTCACTTAAAGGCCGCGTGGGCTATTGTTTCTACTGCTGTTAGGTAATGCAGACTTTCTAAAATACTCCAAAATACGGCTGATGTAAAATTGGTTGTGAATACCATTTCATGAAAAAAAAAATATATATATATATATTATAAGGAATAGACAATGAATGACACAAGGGACAACAAAGGATACAAACATTTATCTCTGAATAAGGATTTATTTTAATATTTTCTAATCACAGTTGTCAAATTTTAACTGATTATCACGTAATGTTATCCATAACTTTTTATGTTTAATCTGATATGGATAAGTAGGAAGGTTTTGCATATCAGCTGTTCATAGCACATTCAACATATTTGTTAATAAAACAGATTTATGCGTAAAAAACATTCTCATGTAAATTCTGGCATTACACAGCACCGACAAATTTCTTTAAAGAACGAACTTCTGTGTAAATTGTTCGTACTGACACATTTGTTTAAAGCACAAATTACAATGTAAAACTTGTATTTCTATGCAAACAATTTACACAGAAATTAATTCATTAAATTAATGTGTCAGTGTCAATTTACGCTTTTTTGTAAATTTCTATGTAAAAAAAACATAAATTGATGCTGACGCATTCATGCGCATTCAACAAATTCCTGTGTAAATTGTTGCAAAAGCCATAGTACATAAATTGTTGCAACATGCAGCACAAACAAACAGCACACATTCGTTCAAGAAACACATTTTTCATAAAACCACTCTTGCTTAAATTGACGGTTCGTGCAGTGTCTTTGCAAAATGTTTCTCAAACCCTTTCTAATGTAAATTGGTGGGTCATGCAGCACAAGCACACTTGTTTACAAAAGTAATTTCTGTGCATATTTTTCGTAAAACCATTGTTGCGTAAATTGTCGCATCATGCAGCACCAATATTTTTGTGAAACATTCACAGAACTTGTAATTTATTTATGAATTTTTTTACCCATTCATTATTGGAGGATAAATTTAAGAGCAAAGTTTCTGTAAAATTACTCTTGTGTAAATTTACGCATCATGCAGTGCCGACAAATTAGTCCAGAGAAAAAATTGGTTTGCAAATTGTTCGCGAAACCTTTCTAGAATAAATTGCGGATCATGCAACACAAACACAATGGTACAACATTTGTTTAAAGAACAAATTTCTGAGAAAATCATTCATTAAATCACTTTGTCATCATGGAGTACCAAGGAATTCGTTTACAGAACGAATTCCTGTGTAAATTTTTCGTAAAAACCATAGTACATAAATTGTTACGTCATGCAGCACAAACACATTCATTTAAGAAATGTATGTACAAAATTTCTGTAAAACTACTCTTGCGTAAATTTACGCAACATGCAGTGACAACAAAAATGTGCACATTTTTCGCAAAATCATTATTGTGTAAAAATTGTCATAAAAATAAGTTTTTTTTTTACTTTATTTGACGATAAATGCAAAATAATTTTGCCTGTAGACATGAATCTTATTCATTTCGTGAATAAGAAAGTTTTACAGCAGAATCATATTCATTCAGTGTGTTTTTGACTCCATTGTGCTGATTGTAGTGTTATCTGAGGACATGATTTGAAATACACTTCGACACTTAACAATGACATCTATTTGAAAGTGGTAGCGAGTAGCTAATATCCACTTCATAGACAAGGTTGTGCTTGTTCTTCTGCTTTTCCTGACCTCACAAGCCGGGTTGAGACAAGGACAGGGCGTACCACAAATATTCCTCCCAAAAGACAGATTTTCTCAGGATGAGAGGAGGAGGATGGAGCTTTAAAGCGACTTAGATCTTGTCTGCCGCAGCTGTTCTTCAGGGACACAAATGCAGTGGCAGGTATTACTGTGGGAGCCATGTTAAGCTTATTTGTTGCTGAAAATGGTTTATACTGCGGCAGAGTTTCTTACACCTTGCTAGAAAGTATTGGGAATCACCACATAAGACATCAGAACCATATTAATTAGAGCGTTAGTTGTTGTAATGCATTTCTTACAGTATAAAGCGAGTATCAGTCTCAAGCCTTATTATTGGATCGTGCTATTCAAATATTTGTCACATTCTGCCATATGTTGACAGATCCATATCCAGTAGCTGACATTTCCCAACAATTTTCTTTTATGTGAGTAAAGTTCACCTTACAAAGAACAGATGAAAAGTTTTATGCATACGGTGACCTTTAAAGAACTATGGCTAAACTACCAAGAAGCCCTCATCCAAACTTCACAGATAAAGAGCTTCGGGCAAAATGTTCTGGAAATCACGTGTGAATGAACAGGAGCATTGTTTTGATGTGGATGCTGTGAGTACATGCGTTTTCAATATAACAGTCACCTGGCAGATACTGTGAGGTTAGTTTTGTAAGATAATTTAAAAACAAAACATGATATTTGTGACCCGTGTTGGCAAAATGAGTCGGAATGCGCACAGGCAAATTTTGAGCTACAGTCAAACAAAGTCGATTTTCACAAAAATGAGTTCATTAAGCCCTCGTCTAGCGATCCCAATGCTCCAAATAATAATTTCAGATGTTTAATTACCTTCATTTGTAGGTTTTCTGAGAGGAGTAGGCTACCTTTTCTCTTTTCGCTTTTCACGCTTTTCATGTCTTAAGTGAACGTTTGGGGAACTGTTGGGGAAAAACATCTGATGTGTATCATTATATAAGATCCGTGCATTACAGTAGGTCTTAATATAGGCCGCCTCATAATGTTAATCTAACAATAAAAGAATCCCTCGCTGCTCTTGATTGAACTCCTTTTGTAGTTTAAATAATCAATTTATTTGTAATTAACAGACTAAATGGATTTTTACATCTGATTATTTGTTTATCTTGAATGCTTTTGTTTAGGTGTAAAATGAAAAAGGTAATGCATTATTTATTCCTTTCTTATATTTCTTCTACTGTTTTTCTTTTGCATCTGTTCTTATTTGTAATAACAAAGATCAAATAAAAAATAGCTATATTGTGATTATTAATATAGTAATTATTATTAAAAAAATAACCGGGGGAAAAGATGCAATGTTGCTGGTGATTTTGCTTTGGAACTTTCAGAAAACTTTAACTTGATTTTTTTCAAAATTGACTTTGCTGACTCTATCGACTTCAAACAGGCGTAGCTCAGTCATTTTTCATCCGATTCCAACACATCATACATCATTCTGAAGGTCTTTTAATGTAGAACATGAACATAAAAATAACTCATTTTTGAAAATTTGCTCATTGTGACTCATTTTGCCAGCAAAAGTCACATTTAGTGCATTAGTTTGATTTGACATGGTATTGTTTAAATAATTCTGAATATTGATTCATAAATCTGAATATATCAAATTAATATATAATAAATATATTCATAAATGTGAATATATATATATGCAGTGTTATTTTAGCATTATATAAATCTATATTTATAAATGCATATTGTGATATATATATTTTGTTGTATAACTATATATATATATATTTTTTATATATATATATATTTTTTTTTGTGTGTGTTTGTGTGTTTTTGTCAATTTTATTAGATTTAGTTTTTTTTGTAAATATGTCTGTAGGTTTTTCAATTCCAATTTTAGTTATATGTTTAGTTTATACTACATCAAGTTTAACTAAATTAAATGATACATTTTATTTTATTTTATTTCAAGTAACGAAAATTTATTTTATGTTTTTAGTTTTAGTTAAACAATAACCATGTGTATAAGTGAGAATATGTATTTAGAAATATGAATATACTTATAGATAGTCTAACTTACAATTATATATATATATATATATATATATATATATTCTGATTTTTTGAAGTCGACTTTTATGTGATGACAGATTTCTGCTCATTCTAAATCAGATAAAGTAGCACAGTAAAGATTACATTAATGTGAATGTGTGAGAGCGATTGCGTGTGTGAATTAATTCTACCTGGCAGCGTCTCTACTAGTAGTGAAGCTGTGGGATTTAGTTATTAAGAAATATATGCTTGAACTTATCAGTTTCTAAGCTATTTTATTGAGAAATCACAGAACAGAGTTGACAATACATTTCTGTGCTGAATGATTCTGTGCGCGTGATGTACGCTATACTGTCTGTCGCCTATGTGTGTGCGTTACAGTGCAGGAGCGCATTAGATTAGAACAGCGATTAACTTACCTGTACAATATGCTGTTTAAAACTTGCATTCTCCCGTTCAATTTCGAGCATCCAGTAATATAATCACACATGTCATGTGGAGCGCTTTCAGAGTATGCATTTACTTGTCATTTGAACTGTTTGGAAACGGAGCGTAAATGTGAAAGTCCTTCAAAGATTTCTTATCCTGTTGCGCCCTCTATAGGACCAGCGACTAGTCGACGTCAAGCTTAAAGCGTCATGGCAGGGCATTGAAGTCGACTAGTTGATTAGTCGGTGCAACCCCTATCTACCCTTTCGAGTCATTTCGTTCATTTTAGCAAAATACAATT